TTTTCTGCGACGGGTGTTGGTGCGAGGATCGGGCCGTCCGAGCGGGGTACCTGTCGCAGGGTTTGTGCCCCGTCTGCAACCAACCCGACTCCATCCATCACCGCCTGTACAAGTGTGAGGGGTCAGCCGAGATCAAGAATGCCCGCGAGGCCGTGCAGGCCACTGATTCTTTCTACCAGCAGGCACAGGAAGGTGCTCAGGAGTTCTTCACAGGACTCAAGTTTCGGCACCCGTCTTCCTCGTGGCCTCAGCCGAGCGACGAGCATGAGCCTGCCTTGTTCGATGTTGAGGGCGCCCCCATGGACTGGAGCGCCTTCAACCCAGAGGGCCTGAGCGTGTCAGGCGATGGCTCTTGTGTCCCGCACATGATAAAGGAACTCTCCAGGGCCTCATATGCGTGGGTCTTCATGGGGACCGATGGGCAGCAGGTGGCGACAGCAAAGGGCACGGTGTGGCCATCCCTGCCGCAGACGAGTCAGGCGGCAGAACAACTTGCGCTCAGCCTCCCCCTATCTTCGTACCCCAGTATGGTGCTGCGTGTTACAGTGATTGTATGAATGCGGTTCAGTTGCGCAACAGCTCTCCCCAGATGCAGCTTAACCCAAAGCATAAGTATTCGGGCTTACGTCGTGGAGCGTTACAGCATATGCAGGCTAACAGATATGCGCCAGCTGTGTATACTCCAGCTCACCGTGATCTCAGCGTGATTGATGCACTCCCTGCTCCTGAAAGATGGATCGGTCAAGCTAATTGGCGAGCGGACAGCGAAGCCAAGCAAGCTATTTTGTTACACCCTCGGCCTGCTCAGGCCGAGTGGGATGCAGTCAGTAGCTCGATCAGAGATCTCGAAACGGCGGCACGACTAGCGGCCGAGATTTTGCCGCTGTTTCCGGGGGTCCAGCACCAGAGGCCCCCGAAACAAGACAAGAGGGTCAAACTTTTTAAAGCAGCGGACGGCTGGCATGCGTGGGAGCCCTGGTTGTGGGGCCACAGATGCAGCAATTGTCTCTGCTTTTATAATGGTTGTGAGGACTCCAGGCCCGAGGTCGGATGTTCGGGGTTCCCGAGTCTGGTGCAGGAGCTCTTGACCTCTTCCCCGAACCATGGCCGCCAGCTGGCCAGTACGCAGGTTGCGGACCAGGAGCGCCCTCTCCTCTGTTGTATGCTGTGCGGTTATTTCGCGCAGCACCGAATTCATATGCTGGCGAAACGGTGCGAGAAGCCACGCGCTGATGAGCAGCGTAGCAGTGCGGGCACCACGGCGCTCAGGCGGCTGAGGCGAGGGCTCCATCCCAAGAAGCCGTGGGCGGTGTCGTGCGCCGCGGTCGAGGCGGCGAATCCAGCTGTGGTGGCCGAGTACATCGCCGCCAATCGCCCGCTCTCCATCCCAGCTGCTGCTCGGCCACTCCAGTCTCTGTCTGCTGTCCGTGCCCGTGTTCGGGCTAGAGAAGGGGGCGGGGACGGTGGGGCGGACGGTGGGTCGGGTGCGGGGGTGGAAGGAGCGAGCGACGGCGCGCGCCGCAGGTCGCCCCAGGGGCGAGCGCGCGCGCCAGGTGACGGCGACGACGACGTTTTCGGTGCGGAGGCCGAGGCCGCCCGCCACCTCCACGGGGAGGGGGCAGGCTGGCCCGTCGCCGCCGCCGCCGCGTCGTCGTCGTCCCACTCCTCCCTCCTGCGGAGGATTGTGTCGGGTCTTCGGGAGGAGGAGGATGTTGCCCCTCTTTTGATTCCCGATTTAAATGGCCCTGGTTCCGACGACTCGGATTGAGGCGGAGAGAGGCCCCAGTGCAAGGCAGCATCCCCTTGGACGCTGTCGTGTGCGGTGGCTACTCTGTGCCTCTCGGGTCCTTCCCTGCGCCAGTTTTGGCGCTGCTTTACTGGTTCGGCCTACTGTGGCCAAAAAAAAATCCCGCTATCCCCGCTGCGGTGTTCAGGAAGGAGGTAATTGGTAGGATGGAGGAGGTGGGGGTCGATATCATGAGGCCCAATCTGGTCGCCCAGGGAAAGTACTTGGGAGCATCGGGCGGGGCTCCGTGGGGACAGGCGGGGTGGAACCAGATAAGGAGACGCGTTTGTTAAAACAGCTGGGTGGAGGGCTGCCGCCCACAACCTGTTTGCCCAGCCTCTCACCAGCCATGGTGCTGAGATGTGCCCCCCCCGAGTGGCCGATCAGAACCCCTCGAGGAGTTGACGCGCGCTCCCAAGTGCAGCTTCTCCCTTGGATTTATGATGCTCCAACCTACTTTAGCCCTGATCACCAGAAAGAGTTTCGAGCTTAACAAAAAAGTACCGAAACTCAAGGGTTTTCACGTGTCGGGTCCTGGGAGACACTCTTTCGGCACTGTTTCGACACCTTTCCAGGTGCTCGAAATTATTTTTGGGATGTGGTCCTTAAGTAGGATGGGAGCAACATAATATTGGATCCCTCTTCCAACCCTTGAGGTGTCGGCGGTAGCTCGAGCAAGTTATGTGGCCGTTTGGACAGACCAGTTTGTAAGGCTCACATATGCGATGCCGACGACTGCGCGATCGCCTGGGGGGCTAGTCCGACTGCGGGGCACTCTTTCTTCCAAGACGCGCCTGACGAGCATGGCAGGCTCAACTGGCCTCATCGTGCCCACGAGTCTTCCCCAAAACTTGTCCAAGCCAAGCCCACGAGCATGTCCAGCAGAGAAGCGGAGGAAGTGGCGCCCTCCGCGTTCGAAGTTGCACACCCGAGGTTGCTCCTCCGATGCTCACACATTCATCCTCATGCGGAACAGCGCGCGTAGGAAAGTGTATGGGTTTATCGCGACGCGTGCACGTAAACCGCTGATTATTCAACGCGTGGAACACAGCGAGGATGTTTGCTATGAGCGCTGACGTGCGGCTAATGTCTGGCAGCGGGGGAGACGACGTAATTCACTACGGTTGCTGGCTTGTCATTCGGCCGATGGTCGAACTAATGCATCTACCCGGGCTACCTGAGACGTGGGGGTCGCCCCTTACCAAGCCCTGATGCCATGTCGTTCCCTGGTCTTTCTGAACGTGTGCATACCAAGTGTACACGCTCCCGATGAGATTCGAAATACTTATCAGATCTTGTGCGCGTCGAACCCCCACCCCCTTTTAACATTGAGAGCACCTTTCCTCTTTTGCGGGCCCGTCTCCGGGTCGAAGAAGGGAAGACAAACCCTTGGCAGGCACGGCACGTTTTTCTGTGCTCCCTCGTCGCCTGTCGTCGTGCCCCGCCTCCGCATACGTCGGCTACGGCGACGCGGTAGCGGCCTTGCGCCATGGGGCGGGGCCCGATCCGTGCGGATGCGGATTTGGGGTCCTTCTCTCCTCCCTCCTTTGGGTCGGTGCGCCTTCTTCTCCTCACCATCATCATCCTCTTCCTCCTCCTCCTCCTCCACCTCCTCCTCCTCTCGACCTTATCGGCTCTGTGTCCGTCAGAGGACGTAGCCGCTCGACGAGGAGGGGTTCCACCTCCCCCTCCGCTCAGACGACGTAGTCCAGGTGATCCCCGAACTCGTCATCCCCGAACTTCCTCATCCTCCTCCTCCTTCTCCGCCTCCTCCTCCTCCTCCTCCTCCTCCTCCTCCTCCTCCTCCTCCTCCTCCTCCTCCTCCTCCTCCTCCCTCCTCCTGGGCAGAGCGTGGAGGGCGGTGTCCTCCATGTGTGCAGGGGGCCCTCGGAATTGTAGACGGTGCACTGCCCCGTGGGCGCCATCGGGCCGGGAGGCCCGCTCACGGGGGAGAGTTCGGTCTCGACGAGGCGGGCGAGTGCCACTGTGCCTGCGCGCGTGGGCCTTCTTAAAGGGCCCGCTTGGGCTCAGGAGCGTATTAGACCACCTCCTCCTCCTCCTCCTCCTCCTCCTCCTCCCTCCTCCCTCCTCCCTCCTCCCTCCTCCCTCCTCCCTCCTCCTCCTCCTCCTCCTCCTCCTCCTCCTCCTTCTCCTCCTCCTCCTTCTCCTCCTCCTCCCCCTCCCCAAGAGAGCCCAGCACGGCCCTGTGGGACCATCCTGGAGAACGCTGGCAATCTGGATTCCGAACCACGCTCTTGGGGGGCCTTGAGACAAGTCTTGCGATATGCCCCAGGAGCGCATGGAGTCTTCGGCCATTGTTCACTATGTCCCGTAACAGCTGCCTGCGGCAAGGTCAGCCACCGTGCCAGCGCAGCATCACGAGTGGAGACGCCTCGAGCACCGCCCAGAGGGCCACAAACTGGCATAGATGTGGGCTGCCTTGGGCTCCAGCTCCGGTGGGGCCGTCCTGGGGCCTTCTCGGGACACTCTTTGGGCCAGAGGACGAGGAGGAGGAGGACGAGAAGGAGGAAGAGGAGGAGGAGACGAGGGCCAGGAGGAGGAACAGGAGGAGGAGGAGGAGAAGAGGAGGAGGGCAATATTGGGCTCCTCTCGGCCGTCCCGGCCGTCTGGAGAGTTTCTGGGAGCCAGTCTGGGTGGGCTCTTGGGAGCCCTGTCTTGGGGCCCCGCGGGAATCCTTCCTTGCGGCTGTCCTGGGCTGTCTGGGGGCCGTCTTGAGGCCCTCCTTGGGGGTTTTTTTTGCGTTCCTTTAGCGCGCCCTTTTTCGATTAAGGAAAAACGCCATAAACATAAATTTCGGGAGCTCCGAGCCAAAAGTTCATGTGTATGTAATTGTTTCTTATTCTACCCTTTTCGGAACAGTTTTGAGCCGAGAGACCCAGGCCACGCAAATTATCGAAAGGCCGAATTATATTTTACCAAACTTGTTGAGTGACGTTAGCATTTCAAGAGGGCCTCCTGAAACTATAGTTGTTGAGTGACGTTGGCCTTTCAGGAGTGCTTCCCGAAATTATCTTTCATGTCTTGGCAGCCTTACCCCCTCCCTCCTATTCCCCCCTCCCTCCCTCCATCCCTCCCTCCCTCGTCGATCCTCCTCCATCGTCCTCGTCGCCCTCCTGCACATCATCGCTCCTCCCTCCCACCTGCACTCTTCCATCTTCCTCCTTCTCCTCTCCTCCGCCCGCTCCGCGGCCAGGCCCCCCGCTGGCCAGCCCGGAGATCGCGAGCACGCTCCTCGACATGGGCTACGCCTCCCAGGAGCCGTCGTCGTGGTCGCCGCCGTCACCGTCGTGGTGCCGTCGTCGCTGCCGCCGTCGTCAGCCAGAGGCTGCGGGGGGGACGGGGGCGGGAAGGCACATCAACAGTCATACCTGGAGGCGGACATGAGACTGCATCGGGGCGCGCGCGCGGGGGAGCTGCACGATTGCGTCGCAGGGAGAGGTCCTCTGAAGAGATACGAGGCGCTGAAGGCACGCCAGCAGCGCTGCAGGCGCTGTCGGGAAATATGGGGAACGAGCTCGGCGCGAGGATCCCCGTATGCGCACCGCAATGCCTGGCTCTTCCCGCCGTGGGCGGCGGGGCAGGAGAGTCTTAGCCTGTGGCGGCGACCGAGCGCTCGCAAGCGGCTCCCCCCTGGGGTACATCGGGATGGTCTTGGAATGCCGAATTCCGAAAAAAAGAGGAGCCGAGAGTGCCCAAACCAGCGTTTCGCTTGAGATGTCCCCACGATTTGGCCGCGCACGTGCAGCAACACCCGTTGGCGGCTCCCTCTTGGGGGGGCCATGTATCACGCCTGCTACATCTCGGTGATCATGAGCGAGCCCGCGCATGAGGAGCGAGCACGAGTGGGTCTGAGTATGAATGAGAAAATGTGGATAAGCCTACGTGTGAGTCTAATTATGCGTGAGTAAAGGCGTGAGTTATCAAAGTGTGAGCGGTCTGTGTGTACGGGTTTGGGTATGACGAAGCTGAATAAAAGTGCATACAACATGATATGAGTGCGAGGAGTTTGCGAACGAGTGAGTCCGAACCAGAGTGGGTAATGTCTGAGTGCGGGGGAGTCTGTACATGAGTTAGTCTGGGTAAGAGTGGGTCTGAGTCTGAGTGAGCGAGGAAGGAGGCGGGCGAGTGGATGAGGTGTGGGGGCGACACTTTGGATCTGGAGAACAAGAACCCCAACCTGGGATATAGGGAAGCAAGCGCCTCGTTCGAGACATTCCCACTATCTGGGCGCAAACGGGCAAGCGCTTGAAGCAGAACAAGCGCCTCGCTTTGGACATTCTCACAAAACGACCCGGAGTGGCAAGTGCCACCCCCCCTGGGTGTCTCCGCCCTGGTGTGCCCAAGTATTTGTTTGCCCTCGGCATGTAGGTAAAAAGTGTGGTTCTGAAAGAATAACGGCCAGAGGTGCAACACAAGTGCCTCGCTCGAGACATCCCCACAATGTGGGTGCGAACGGGCATGTGTCGTACCCCTTGGCGGCTCGCCCTTGGGGTACCCAAGTGATACGCCTTCTGAGTATTGTCGATCATGGGACTCCGAACGGAAAGGAGTCGGAGGTGCAAAACAAGCGTCTCGCTCGAAACATCCCCACAGTGAAGGTGCGAGCGGGTGTGTTTGTGTGTGTGTGTGTCATACCCCCTGGCGGCTCCCCCCTGGGGGTGCCCAAACGCTATGCCTGCTACCTCGCGCAGACCATGAGGCCCTGAAAGGGCAGGAACCGGAGGCACCACACAAGCGCCTCGCTCGAACTAAACCCAGACGTTGGGCGCGAACGGACACATGTCATATCCAGTGGCGGCTGCCCCATGGGGTGCTCAAATGTTTTGCCCGCCATATCGCGGCGATAACGGGGTTCTGAAAGGACAGAAGCCCGAGGGTCAAGCTGTGGCGAAGCGTCCTGGCTCGCCTATAGGCCCACCAAAGAATGTTCCAAGAATCTTTGGTGCTCTGCACGGAATGTTCTCAGAGCAGTTCTGGCTGGGACGGTCCTGTTTTAACGCATCGGGCTCGTGTTCTAAGAACATTGTTTTCTTGGCTCTCGGAACATAGTTGGGTTCTAAGAGCATGTCGTGGCAGAAATGCCGGGACGGCCGGTCCCTGCTCAAGAGGTGCCCAGCAGGCGCCTCGCTCGAGGCATCCCCGCGAAGCAGGGCCGCGGGCGGGCCGGCGACGTGCCCCCTCTGCGGCGCCTCCCCCCCCCGCAGGGGGGGGTCCCCAAGATGACGTGCCCGCGGCGCCGCGGCGATCGCGGGGCTGCGCAGGGGCAGGGGGCCGGAGAGGTGCAGCCCGGGCGCCTCGCTGGAGGCGTCCTCGCCGTGCGGGAGCGAGCGGGCAGGTGTCCTGCCCCCCCTTGGCGGCTTCCCCCCGGACGGTATGCTCATGCGGCGTCGCGGCGGTCACGGGGCGGGGGTGAGTATGGGAGGCGAGCACGAGTAACTTATGCCCGAGTGTGCCTGCGAGAAGCGAGCATGAGAGGCGAACATGAGCATGGTCAGTGAGACAAAGAAGTGCCTGTCTTTACCCATTATTTTGCCACTCGGCGCGGGCCCTTGCCCCCCCCCCCCACCCCCCCACCCCCCCATGGAGTAGATCTTGGCTGTTTCTGGCGCCTGTTTCGAGCAGGTGGAGTCTCCCCTCATGGGACGCACTGTCGCAAGCAGTCGCACCAAGCAGAGGTCCAGAGCCAGACAACCCCCTCTCCGCCTCCCCCCCCCCTCTTCGCTCAATGTCGAACGAATCGCCGAATACGCAAACGTGCACGTGACAGAGCGTGGCCAAGCCTGAAGGCGAGTCCGAATATGGGCGAGCAGTAGGCCGGGCATGCCCTCCTGCAGGACGGTTCTGAGGGAAGCACCAGAAACAGCCCCAAAGGACCCCCAAACTTGTCGACGAAAATGCTAACAATCATCGTTCCTTTGGAGGGACACGCCCGACTTCAGAGGCGAGCCAGAGCGTGCCACAGCGGAGCGTGGCCGGCCTCTGCGCGCTTGCTGCGCGCTCCTCGCCCCGCGGCGGCTCCGCCCCTCGACACCGCGTGCCGCGCACGCTCGCCGGCGCGCCACGAGGCTTCAGGAGGCGCGTGCCGTCCGTCCGCGTGGCGTCGGAGCGAGGTAGGAGTAAGTCGGGCGTGTCCCCCTACGGGGGGATTTCCGGCGAAAGATACAAAAAAAACCCAAAAAGCCCCAACGAGGTCCAAAAATGTTCAGGAAATAGTCCCCAGGCAATTGTTGGATCATTCTTGGCGTATTTTTTATTTTTCGTCGAAAACCCCCCTGTTAGGGGGACAGGCCCGACTTAAAGGTAATTAGGAGATCGAGGGCAGTTCGGTGAGGGTGCCCTGGTGTTCTTCGTGTCTGTTTCGGCGGCGAGCGAGGGGGGGGCGGGGGAGACAGAGAATGCCTGCTCAGGAGGCGCCGGGACTCCTCGGAAGCCCTCGAGCCTTCCGAGAAGTGTTCTGTGTCTTCGGGGAAGGCTCGGGAAACTTCTCAGAAGGCTGGGGGACTTCTCTGAGCGTTGTGAGAAGGCCCGCCCCTTCTCGCTTTCCCCCAAGGCGCGCCGCCTATATCAGACCGATGCCGGTTCGGGGATGGCACCCTCATGTTCTTCGTGTTTGTTGGATGTGTTTGTGCATCTTGGGGGAGAGTACCCTCGAGTGTTCTCCAGTTCGGGTCGGCGGAGGGTCTCATGTCCTTGAGGCGTGTTCTTCTGTCCCGGGTCCGACCGCAGCAAGGATGGACGATTTTCCAGGGTCACCCTTGTGCATCTGAAAATAGTCAGGGGCTGTCTGACCTCTGGAAAAACAAACGAGTGAGGCAAGTTGACGCCTGTAGCAGCCAAACGCTGCCAAAGAGAAGCTCGCATTCGGAATACGAAGCCGCAGAGGAAAACAAAGGCACCCCTCAGAAGATGCACTGGCTCAAGAACTTGTAGTACTAGACTCAAGAATTGTGCAGAATGCACGACGTATGCAGCCACCCAACTGGATACATGGTCACCCTTGTGCATCCTGGCCCCCTCGGCCCAGCCTTGAGGACTTCCGCTGGCCGCGCCCCCCCGCCGGCACAGTGTCGGAATGGCCTTCCGAGGCCCCTGTGTCCTTCTCGCGCGTCCTTCTTGTACGGGTTTGGGCCGCGTCAGTCCGAGCACGACTCGACCGAGCGCACGAGCGGACCCGAGCATGACTGATGTGGGTGGGCACCAGTGTGCGGCGGGGGGCGAGAAGGAGGAAGGAGGGAGGCGGACGCATGATGCCCATCGGTCGTTGAAAGTGGGTATTTGTGGATTCCCAGATTCCTATCTGCTTGAAGCGCCTTGCTTCTTCAATGATCGAGCGGCTTCACCTTTCCCGTCCTCCCAAGGGGGCGGACGGAACCCAATCTACTTCCAACGCTTCCCTACTTCATGTTTCTACCTACTTCTTCCGACCGATAGGTATTTACATCAAAGCCGTTCCCGCCGGGACGTGTGGAACTATGGCTCCCGTCGGCGATTTGGCTCGAGCTGGCTCCGCAGCCTGGTTGTCGGAAGAGGTCGATGTCATGGCGTGTCCTCGAGCGGCGTCATGCTGTGCCGCTGCAGCCGCGCCGTCCGCCAGGCTGGGCGGTGCTCCCGTGCTCCGCGCTGGTCGCAGTCAGCCCCCTGGCCGTCTCCTCTGCCGCCTCGGCCCGGGCTGCCCGCCAGCACCGGCCGTGGCGTTCACGAGCGGGCTCTCGTCATTGACCAGATGGACGTCTCGCCGATCGCGGGCTCCCGCATCATCCGCAACGCGACTGTGCAGGAGCCGTCGAGCAGCTCGTGCGGTGCCCTGGCGCGCAGTGGTGCCGGCATATCATGCCATGTCTTGACACGGGGCGGATCCTATCGCCATTCCGTCTCATGCCATGTACCTGCCATGTCGTGACACGATGTGGATCGTATCGCCATGCCGTCTCGTGTCATGTCCTACTGCGCCGTGCCATGCCATTCCATGCCATCCAGCGCAGTGATCGGCTGCACGCAAGAGTGACCTTTCGCCGGAGTGACCTTTGGTGCGGGCCCATTGGGGTCCCCCGATCGCCGAGCGCGATGCGAGTGTAGTGTCTTGCGCGCTTGTGTTTGACTCCCCCGCGGCCCAGAAGCCGCGCACCAAAGGTCACTCTTACCCAGGGTCACTCTTGCGTGTGGCCGAAGTGGCATGCCACGCCATGACATGATATGCATGTCGAGGAGGTGTACGAGGTGGAGGACACGGTCCTCGGAGTGGGCGCCACTGGCCAGGTGAGGCTCGTCACCCACCGTGCCTCTGGCAGGCGTTGCGCCCTCAAGAGCCTGTCCACGATTGGCCTCTCGGACAGGAGGCTGGGCATGCTGCACGACGAGGTCGAGATCTTCCTCAGCCTGGACCACCCCAACATCTGCAGGCTCTTCGTTTTGGGGAGCGGCTCACTGAGCGTGGAGGATTTCCGCTTGGGCTTCGAGTTACTACTTGTACTTAGTTGCCTGGCCTCTCTCCGCCGTCGGTCTCCTGCCTCCCTATGGCGGGTACCGCGGGAGCGCGATTGTGTTATCGCCGTGCGCTCATTGAGGTTCTGAGCTCCTGAAGGTACACCAGAGCCCCCGAGGCCCAACAAAAAAAAACCTCTGCAGGCTCTTCGAGGTGTACCAAGACGACACCGCTGTGCACCTCGTGATGGAGCTGTGCGAGGGGGAGGCCATGTCTCGGCGTCTTCAACTCCGCAGGGTGTACAGCGAGCGGGAGGCCGCGGTGGTCTGCATCCAGATGCTGGAGGCCCTCTCGTACCTCCATTGGCAGAAGATCTGCCACCGTGACCTGAAGCTCGACAATTGGGTATACGCTGACGCCTCCGAGGACGCCAAGCTGAAGCTGATCGATTTTGGGCTGTCGATGTTCTTCCGGAGCCTGCCCGAGGCCAGGATGGAGGGCACCGCGGTGTACATGGCTCCAGAGATTTGGGAGGGCACCGTCGACGAGAAGTGTGACATATGTTGCAGATGAAAAAACGGCATCAGCATAAACTTGTTGGCGCTCCCCGCGGACTTCTGGGATCCGCGCTGGGCCCCCCCGGCGCGCTCCAAGAAATCCGCGCGGGGCGCCAAAAAGTTTATGTCTGTGCCGTTGTTTCTTCTTCTAACGTGGGCGCTGGGAGTGATCATGTACATGCTGCTGAGCGGCCCCCTGCCGTCCGCAGGCGAGAACACGAGCGAGGTGGCGCGGAGGATCATGATGGAGGGCTTCTCCTTCGACGGTCCGCACTGGGACGGCGTCTCGCCGCGCGCCAAGGCCTTCGTAGGCAGCCTCCTGGAGGACGACCCGGAGGATCGACCCAGCGCCAGAGAGTTCGGTAGCAAATCGCAGGAGCTTGGCCAAATCCTCTCAATTCCGTCCGTAGCGTCGACCAGCGTCGATTAGCGTCTGAGGGTCGGCGAGACAGCGCTTACCTAGCGCCGGTGAGCGTCGATTTAACGTCGATGTGGCGTCGATGTAGCTTCGACTAGCCTCGACTGGCGTCGCTTCGCAGGCGCCAACAGGATGGCATGGGATCGGCGTCGCCCCAACATATTTCTACTATCTGTGCGTCGCCCCCCCAGGGGAGACGCGCGCGCCGAGAAATATTGTAGTACATGCGCCGTGGCGGGCGTTTTCTGGCACACCGCTCGGGAAATACGACGACGGTTATACTACGTGTTCGGGTCGGACGCGCGCCTCCAAGGAAGACATACTGTATAGTACTAGTATGTCTCTGTGCGTCCCATGGGAGGCCCCCGTGCGTTGCCACCGAACGCGGGAGTGCATGTGCCACGAGTGGCTCGCGGGACTCCGCGTGAGCCCGTGCGCCGAGGGCAACAGGGGCAGCGTCTCCGACGACGTCCTGCACAGGATGAGGGCTTTCGCGTCGCAGAACGCGCTGACCAGAGCGGTCTGTGGCCTGATGGCTTTCTCGATCCGAAAGAGACAAAACGCCATAGACATAAATGTTCGGCGCTTTACGCGGATGTCTTAGATCCGCGCTGGGCCCCCCTGGCGGCGCCTCCGGCGCCGCCCCTGGCGCGCCCCGCGCGCCAGGGCGAGGGGTCCAGACCAGATCCAATAAATCCGCGCGGAGCGCCAAAAGTTTATGTTTATGGCGTTGTTTCTTCTTCTATCGATGTCCGCCAGGGATGCGTTGGAGGTGGAACAGCAGTTCCGAAGCATCGACGTTGAAAGCACAGGCGTGATATCTTTGGATGAGTTGACCGCCGTCTTCAAGAGGCGCCTTCGCATGTCGGAGGAAGAGGTGCGCCGTGTTTTCTTGAAGCTGGACCAGACTGGCGACCGCATGATTCACTACTCTGAATTTGTGGCCGCGGCGGTGTCGTCGCGCGACATCCTGCACAAGGCTGCCATCAGGGAGGCCTTCCACAAGAGTTCGACGCCGAGCGCAAGGGCTTCATTTCGGTCGACGACCTGCGCCGCGTGCTTGGGGACGAGTACGCGGGCACGCAGGTGGAAGACATCGTCACCGCGGTCGACAGCTCGAAGAACGGAGTGATCGATTACGCCGAGTTCGTCGAGGCTCTCCGCGAGCAGCCCTTCGAGGGAGCCGCCGCCGCGGCCGCCGCGCGGGAGGACGCCCAGGCGCAGGCCGTGATCCGCAGGCTGTCGCGGCGGACGCTGGGCCGCATCTCGCGGCGGGCCTCCGGGCGGGGCGGGGTGTGGATCAAGCAGGAGCCGTTCGCCGCGGAGGAGCAGCCGGAGGCGGGCGGTGTTTGATTGGAGACCCGCGCTCTCTCTGTCTCTCCTTGTCCCTGCCTGGCCCTCCTGGGACACTGCGTGGCTCGAAGCGCGCGCGAGGAAAGCGGGGAGGCCTGCATCCTGGAGGACATGCCGACCTGGAGGCGGCCCGCCGCGCGCTGGCACGCTGGCTGTGCCGACCGGCGTGCTGGTCATGCTGCGCCCGGTCCCCCGTGTCGCCCAGTCGGGGGTGTATGGCAGGAGCGTCGCAGTCCTGCGGGCAGCGCGCTGCGGACGCCCGCGCTGCGTCAGTCGGCCCGCTGCTGATTCATCATGTGAGGCCGCGATGCCGTGCAAGCGTGATCCCCACGCCATGGCACTACCACCCTCCACCTGCCCGCGAGCACTTCGGAATGCTGGTGCCGGGCCTGGCGACGGATAGCTGGCTGTTCTGAGAGTTCGCGGTTCTCTGCGTTACGAGCCCAAGTGTCCCCACCTGGCTGATCCTCCCTCCTGCCCCGTGCCCTCGCCTATCCTGCATATCCTGCCCCGTACGCTCCGTCCTCCCTCGTGCTTCCCTCCCCGCTGTGCAGTATGTCTTCCCGCCTTCTCTGGGTCGTTATGCCCCTCTCGTCTTCCCGTGGGCTCGTCGTTTGCCGCCTCGCCTCCTCCCTGCGTCGACTCTCCGCGCCTCGGTGGACTGCTAATTACACCTCCTCCTCCTCCTCCTCCTCCTCCTCCTCCTCCTCCTCCTACTCCTACTCCTACTCCTACTCCTCCCCCTCCCTCCTCCTCCTTCTCCTCTTGCTCTTCCTCCTCCTCATCCTCCTTCTCCTCCTCTTTCTCCACCCCTCCCCCCCCCTGCAGGCCCAGACCTCCGACTCTTCTCTCCGCAACGCGATTCAGCGCGTCCCCGAGTCCGCGGGGACGCCGTCCGCGTCTAACGGCGCACCTCGCAGTCCTCCTCCGCCTCATCCTGCTCATCCTGCTCATCATCATCATCATCATCATCATCATCATCATCATCATCATCAGCAGCAGCAGCAGCATCAGCATCAGTATCATCAGCATCATAACCAGCATCATCATCGTCAGCAGCATCAACATGAGCACCAGCGTCAGCATCATCATCACCACTATCATCAGCATCATCAGCAGCATTAGCATCAGCATCAGCATCCGCCTCGTCTTCCTCATCATCCCGTGCAAACGTCCCACCATAATCTTGCTCCTCATCATCTTCCTTCGCCTCATCCTCTTTCTGCTGTGTTTGCGCCATCATGGCGCCTGGAAAACAGAAAGTCTAAACTTCTTCTCGCCCTCCTGACATGTTTCTCCTGCCCCTCCAAGAGGACGGGGAGACGCCTAGGTCCCAGAAGCCCCCCCGATGTTTCAATTACCTCCTAACACCCTCCCTCCTGCTTCACTCCCCTTCCCCCCAGGCCCATAGAACCCTTTGGAACATCCAAGAACCACATGGGACCACCTGTAGCCTTCCTTGTCCTTCTCTTCGTCCCACTCCTCGGGGGGAAGACGTGTGGTAAGGGGAACCATTTCGACCCTGTGGAGCCTCCAAGAAACCAAGAATCCCAGGTCCCTTAATAAGCATCCGCATCGTCCACATCATCGTCGGCCTCCTACTCTTCATTACCCTCCTGCCCGACGGCGACGACGACCCTTCCGAAGGCCGTGCAGGCCGCGTCGCGGAGGTGCTCGTCAGTGGAGGCGGCGGTCAGCCGGGACGCCCCAGCAAGGGAGCAGAGTTCTGTACGATCAAAATGGGCATGGAAAGAATGGCATCGAAGACCCGCAGCAGTTCCTGCCCATGTTGGGCAGGACTCGTTGCCGCCGCAAACGTTGCCCATTCGAGACAGAAAGGTTGCCTGCTCAACAGCGCCCGCTGCTGCTGAGCATCGGACCCACTTGTTCCGCACCAATTCCGGGCGTGCCAAAGGGCAGCCGGGGGGACCGGGGCACCCTCTCGCACCCTGATGGTCCGCTACCGAAAATTTCCGGTAGCGCTCCGCAGAGATCGGTCGCTACCGAAATACCGAAATGTAGCGCCCAATATTGGTATCAGAGCGTTCTGAAATCCGCTATTTCAGCGCCCTCAAACGAAGATCCGGTCGCTACCGAAATTCGGGGTGCGTCGAAATCGCTACCGAAAATTTCCGGTACCAGACCATCTGGGCATGGTTGCAGGAAGTGAACTCTCGCACAGTTGCAGCGAGATGCACGCCAAATGCATGCCGCAGCCCACGCGGCCCAGCTGCGGCCCCCCAGGGGGCGGGGTCGGAGGACCGCACGGCCTCGCCGATGCGGCGCGATCTTGTGGTGAAGTTTCTCCTTCTGGGCCCCACCTGCTCTGGCTGCATTGCTCCTCCTCCTCCTCCTCCTCGTCCTCCTCCTCCTCCTCCTCCTCCTCCTCCTCCTCCTCCTCCTCCTCCTCCTCCCTCCCCCCCCCTCCTCCTCCTCCTCCTCCTCCTCCTCCTCCTCCTCCTCCTCCTCCTCCTCCTCCTCCCTCCTCCTCCTCCTCCTCCTCCTCCTCCTCATCATCATCATCATCATCATCATCCCCCTCCTCCCCCCCCCACCACGGGGAGGGGGAGGGCGGCATGATGACGTGTGGCAGCATTAGGGGTGTGACCCGTCCGCCCTGAGCGGCCATCGCTTCGTCCCCCCCTCGGCGGCCGCCTGCCCTGTCCCAGTTTCCCGCTCTTGCATGATGGCCACTTCGCTACCACGGCGCCCCCGTTTCGCTCACTCCGCCAGCGCCGTCGACCCCTGCCCAGCCGCCGACGCAAAAAAAATGGTTCCAAAACGTCTGGCATGCCGAGGGGTGATTTGAAAACAGAGTCTGGCATGTTGAGGCTGTCCCCACCACGCTGCAGCATGTCGTCGGGCCAGCAGGGCCCAGGGGGTTGCGCACGGACAGCCCCCAGGGGTAGGCGTGGCCGTGCTTCCCGCGACGATCTCCACGAACGTGTATTTGCCTTGGCTTGAGCCAGCAAGCAAGCAAGCAAGCCACAGGCTGAGAACGAAACGCACATCAGCACATAACCGCCGTCACGTGGCATCGCAGTACTTACTTTGACGAGCGCGTTCCGCTACTCGCAAAGTAACTACTCGCAAATGGCCTGGATTCCCGCGCGGGGGATCTACGATAAATCATAGCAAAAGCAGGCATGGGTTTTCGAGCGTTTGCGAGTAGGCACTTTGCGAGTAGTGGAACGCGCTCGACGATTACTGACTGCGATCCGCCACGCCGTGGCCGAAGAAATGGTGTCTTGCCACAGCGCAGGAAGGGCCTCCACAACCCCCAGCTGCCTGAGCCAGGGCAGGGCGGAAGCGGAGTGCGCAGGCACGGATTGAAGGCGTCAGCCAGCGCATGACCTGACTCGGCTGGCTTACAGCAGCCTCCAGAAGCTCCAGTCCAGGCTCGTGACATCGCTCGGACGTGTGCATTTTTCTTCTCGGCGAGGACCATCGAAGAGCAGCTTGGATCATCTTGCGAAGACAAACACGCACGAAACTGAAAAACGCACGGGGAATGGACGTCCGAGCGATGGCGAGAGGCTGGTGCAGATATACCCCTCTCGACTCTGCACCTGGCGTGCATCCTGCGGCGCTCACGCGCCGATAGCACGACACATGCGAGGCAGGCGCCCGAGATCCGCCTGCCCGCCCCAGCAGATTTCAAGCGAGACCTCCGCTGCTGGCAATCCCGCCATGCTCCAACCCCTGCACCATCCAACGGTAAGTTCCTTTTCTTGTCCCTTTGCCCTTGTAGTCTGCGTCCTTCTTTGAAGCAGAACATGAAAAGGATAAACGATGACTGTGGCCAATCTCGAAGGAAACCAAGCCAACGAGGAATCTGAAGATGAAGATTCACTTCAGTCAATTGGCAGAGAGATATGAAAAAAGCAGCCGACGTAGATGATGGTCAGCCTCTTTGCAATGTGGTGGGATGATGCCCCCCCCTGCCAGAGAAGTATAAGAACGGTCTGGCTGAACGGATCCTCCAGCATTCTTTGCGCCAGCTTCCACAATGGACAGCTGGAGTGTCGCAGCACGAGTGCGCTGGCGCGCCACACTTGCATCACAATCAGCATAGGGAGTCGCACCAACATCAGCACCACTACCACCATACGAATCCATTAGAGCTCAAATCCCTCACCGCTTGGACTCGTGAAACGCAACATTGTTATGATGTGTTTGGTTGATTTGAAAAGTACTAGTCACATTTAGATCACGGTGTTTGATCGGCGATGGGAGCAAGTCATTCTGGTGAGGGCAGGGCGAATGCATGTCTGGGTCGATGGCGTTGTTCGTACAACAACGGTGGCGTAAGTATTGTCTGCCTTTCGCGTGTAGTTTTCGTGCCCGTACTGATTGTCTCAATTGGGCAAGCCAACGCAGACGACAATTGGATGTTACGGACTTCGAGTCGTACAAAGTTGTCCTCTCAGCATGGGCGCAGCATGCTCGAGCAGAATTTGAGGAGCTGGCCATCCCGACGATGGAGAGTGAATGTTGATGGTGGAGGTCTCGCTTACCAGCCCCTTTGAGATTGATCGTGCAGTTGAGAGGGCCATGACTGGCACCATCGCCCGAGATTCCTCCCGCCAGCGAGCGCGTCGTGCTGCACACTTTGGCACCAGTGGGTCACTCAGCCTGTATGCCTGCTGAGCGAAGGGTTCCCGTGTGAGCTCGGCGATGTCAGCCCTGAAAGGATGTCTTCTTCTTCTTGTTTTTCTTCCTCCTCCTGCTCCTGCTCCTCCTCCTCCTCGTTCAGAAGCCTAAAAGTATCAGCATTTCCAGCATGGTGGTTATCCGACATATGCTTGGCATTCCTTCCTGGCAGATCTCTGCTCCTGGATGGCGCCAGAGATGTCCATGAGACTTCAGAGTATAGACGTAGCTCATTGCCCGGAAACAAAGGTCGCCAGCGCGATAGCACGGCAAGCTTGGGAGTTACAATTGGAAGCCAGTCAGTTTTTTACCTTGGTTGCTTGTTCAGCTAACGGCCAGTACGTGGCAGCAGGTGAGCTCACATAGTAACATTTGCATGTTACGCCTCTCGAACAGTTAACGCTATGGCGTGCTCGTCGCTTTGATGCTCGCGTTGATCTTGGTGCTGGCGATTGACGCTGTTTTCTTCTGTCCGAGCGTGGCAAGTCGGGAAGTTCAATGGGTGTCAATGGTGTTGATACAAGCGGCCCGATAGTGTCACGGAGACAAATCAAGTCGATGCCAACATTGCTGTTGCGAGACTTCGCGAACATGAGCGGTAATATATATATATATATGCACAAGAGACTCAAATGACGCTTCGCGCCATGCACTTTGGCCCTTCAATTCCCACATGCATGCGGAATGACAAGGAGTGTGAGAGAGAGAAAACACAAAATTTGTAGGAGAGGGCAAGAAGACGAAGAAGAGGAGCTTCTTGTTCTCGCTGTTGCTGTCGCCAGTATGTACTTGTTCTTCCATGCCCTGTTTCTCACACTCATTACGCCCCTTCTCGCGCTCACTCTTCCCTGCGAGCCATCCCTTATTTTCTCTGTTGCGCAAGCCGGCGTTGCCCAAGGGGGTCGCATCTGTGTTGTGAAGCACCGTGCCAGCCCCCCAAGTCAGAGGCGGGCCCCGGCCTTGCCCAACTCCTTGGTCTTGGTACCCTTGTTTCTTTACCCAACGTCCCCGGTCTTGTTCCCTGGGTTTTCCCGTCTTGTTTTTGCCTTCCTGTTTCGGGTTTCACGGTCTCGTTCCTCGGGTTCCTTGATCTTCGTTCGGTGTGTTCGCGGGTGTTTGCAATGCTCAGCACTGCACAGCAATACCAAGTAGTACCAAGCGCTACCAAGCACTGCTAATTAACGCATAGCAGAGCAATGCCAAGCAACGCCAAGCAACGTCAAGCAATGACAAGCAATGCCAAGCAATGCCAATCAGCGCAAAGCAGTACCAAGCATTGCCGAGCAATGCCAACGAATACCAATCAGCGCCAAGCAATGCAAAGCAGTTCAAAGTAATGCCAATCAATGCGAACCAGCGCTGAGATGTAAGCCAATGGCAGCTAGTGCCGAGCAATGTCGAGCAGTGCCAAGCGACGCTAAACAATGCGAATCCAATTTCAGCCATCACAAAACAACGCAACGCAATGTCAAGGAATGCCAAGTAATGCGAAACGAGCCCGAGCAGTTCTTGAGTTTTCGCGTATCCCCACCAGCCTATCCAGAAACGATACCCGTGAGAGTTAACGGGAGAAAGGAGGCAGAGACACATGTAGTGAATCAGAGGCGACAACAAGGGTGAATTGAGAGATTCGGGGGCGAGGGGAGGCTTTGGAGGGCCTCTTGGGGCCACCTCTTGGGCCCGCACGGGGACTGAGGGGGAGGAGGAGGAAGAGGAAGGAGGAGGCAAGAGGAGGAGGAGGAGGAGGAGGAGGAGGAGGCACGAGGAGAAGGAGGGAGGAGGAGGCAGGAAGAAAGGAAAAGAGGAGAACATGAAAGAGGAAGAGGCGGAGGAGACCTTCGCGGGCCTTCTGTTGTGAGGGTCGCACGCGGCCCTCTTGGGGTCCTCTTGGGACCTTCGGGACAAGTTTGAAGTGTCTGGGGGCCCTCTTGCGGGAATTTCTGTGGCCCTGGCGGACCTCTTGGGTGCATGCTGTAGGACGTCGATCAAAAAGATGGGAGGCCTTAAATTTCGGCCCCCCGTCAGTAACGCGCATAAGC